GGAGGGACCTGGCTACAGGGACCTAAGCAGAGTACCTAGATTGGAGCAGGGCTGGCGAAGGGCCTGAGGAGCTCCAGCCAGGAAAGCCCCAGGCTGCGGCCTAGCATTAGGCCCAGCAGGTACAGGGGTTGCAGGGGACAGCCCAAGGTTAGACAGAGGCAGCAGGTCCAAACCCAACCTTGCCTGTGATGAGTGGCTCATACTGCAGTCTGCCCCAGGGCATGGGGGCTAGCTGGTGACTGGCAGGAGCCTATGACTAAGGCAAGGTAGGGACAGTGGGTGGGGGGTTCCCCTGGGAGCAGGAGACCCAGAACTGTGGGGTATTGCCAGGGGGCAGCACCCAGTGAAAGGGGCACTGGGGTCCTGGGAGGGACATGGGAGCCAGCAGCAAGGCAAGATGCTGGCCTGAAGAGGGCGCACCGGAGGCTGGAATGCTAATTCCCTGAGACGACCAGCAGGAGGTGCCGCTAGTGAGTCTCCGGTTACACTCCCCTTCAACTAATTTCTTATCCACCTTTCAGTTCTCATATTAATCCCCATTAATTAATCCCCATTAATCCCCATCTTCTCCAATTTAACTAGTAATTTCCCATGTGAAACTGTATCAAATGCCTTACTGACATCCAGATAGATTAGATCTACTGCATTTTCTTTGTCTAAAAAATCAGTTATCTTCTCAAAGAAATCAGGTTGGTCTGGCAACAGCATTACCTGTGTTACAGATGGAGATGCTGCGGCACCAGGTAGAGAGGTGAACTGGCTGGTTCAGCAAGCACTGAGGTGAAGCCTGAGTTCTAACCTGGCATCTTGCACTCAAGTGACTGTAGCGCTCTGCTTGCTTGGCTGAAAATCAGGGGTGATGCTTCAGAGCGGAACTTTGAGGCTCAGCTAAACAGCTTGTAAGGTTTTATTACAGCCCGTCAGAAGTAGGAAGGAGCTAATCACCTCAGGGCCTCTGCCTATCCATTGGCCACACAGCATTCAGCAGCATCAGGAGCCGTTTAAAAAGAAGTCCTTTGCATGTCCCCATGAACTCAACTGAGCAGTGTAACCTGCGTTCATTCTGTTACATATCTTCTGCTGTGCCCGAGCCCACAGGCAATGGGTCTACGACAGGGTGGTGTTAGGCTCATAGCTCACGCTGTGTATGGTCATATTTTTAGCTCTGGAGGCCCACGGTTCAATCCCTGGTGGTGACCAAGATGGCTCTGTTTACAAAATGTACAATCTGCCTCAGAAAAATCCTCCATATCTTTTGGCCCAGAAGAATCTCAAACCAAGATCTATTGACACAGTGCAGCCAAGAGGATCTGAGTACCATCATTGCCAGGAGGCATTGGACATGGATCGGTCACATGCTTCGGATGGAAACTGATTCCATCACCAGAGTAGCAATAAGATGGACACCTGAAGGCAAGTGAAAATGAGGCCGCCCAAAAACAACATGGTGAAGAGCTGTGGAAGCCGAGCTGAAAAACCTGGGGTACAGCTGGGGAGCCACTGAAAGGCTTGCCAGAAAGAGACAGAAGTGGAGGTGCGTCATCACTGCCCTATACGCCAGAGGCGTAATAGGAACATGATGATGATGCATCCAACTTACTCATGCCAATGCACTGACCTGGTGCATAGGACTGTAGCTAGTTCCAGAGAATTGATGGGGCCAGGTTCATTGTATACTTGGTTTTAATGCAATGTTCTGCAAAATAAGAAAAGTGTGGGGAAACTAGCCACATTTCACCATTTTTTTTCAAATGGATTTTTTTTCATACAAAAATTGCCTTTTTTCTCAACTGAAATTTTTCAAGAAAAATTTTCAACATCAACGTTTTTCATTTTCTATGCAAAAAATGAAACACTTTGATATTTTTATTGAAAATACTACTGAAAACATAATGTTAAGGCTTTTTTTTTTACATGAAAACGCAGTTTTCGGTAAACAAAACATTTCAATAAATTTTTGCTAAAAAAAGTATTAAAATTGCAAAGAAATTCACTAAAAGAAAAAAAAATCAATTTCAAGTCCTTTAAAATGAAAACAACATAGACATTTAGTCATTTTTGACAAAACTAGTTTTCCTTTTCTTGGCCAACTCTGTTTCAGATTTCAGAGTAACAGCCGTGTTAGTCTGTATTCGCAAAAAGAAAAGGAGTACTTGTAGCACCTTAGAGACTAACCAATTTATTTGAGCATGAGCTTTCGTGAGCTACAGCTCACTTCATCAGATGCATACCGTGGAAACTGCAGCAGACTTTATATATACACAGAGAATATGAAACAATACCTCCTCCCACCCCACTGTCCTGCTGGTAATAGCTTCCGGGTGGCAAAATCCATGAAAGTCAGTATGTACTGCTTTCCTCTGGGTGTCTTTTTCGGAAAAGGACCCAGAATATCTACAGCTACTCGCTGAAATGGAACTTCAATGATGGGGAGTGGCTGGAGAGGGGCTTTGACCTGGTCTTGGGGTTTTCCCACTCTTTGGCACACCTCACAAGACTGGACATAGGTAGAAACATCCTTGCCCATTCCCTCCCAGTGGAATGATCCCCCCAAACGGTCTTTGGTCCTGTTCACCTCAGCATGGCCACTAGGGTGATCATGGGCTAAGCTCAAGAGCTTGGCCCGGTATTTAGTTGGAACTACCAACTGTCTCTGAGGATGCCAGTCTTCCTGGTGTCCACCAGAAAGAGTTTCCTTGTATAAAAGTCCTCTTTCTACAACAAACCTGGATCGATTAGAAGAGCTGAGAGGCGGTGGGTTGCTCCGTGCCGCCGTCCAAGCTCTCTGGAGGCTTTCATCTGCTTCCTGTTCGGTCTGGAACTGTTCCCTTGATGCTGGGGACATCAGTTCCTCATTGGATTGTGGACCTAGGCTTGGTCCCTCTGGAAGCGATATAGGGGATGGAGCTGTTTCTGTTGACTGTGAACCGCTCTCCGCTGGTGCACTATGTTGGGATTCAGGCTCCGGCTGAGCCTCTTGTGTAGGGTTATCGGCTGCTGCCAGTTCAGGTTCAGTGGGGCCCTCTGGTGTTGAGGTTGCAAGTACTGGATTCAGTGCTGGCACGGGGTCTGGTGTTGGTTGTTTGGCTGGTTCCGGTTCTGGGACTGGTTCCATCTGGGTCTCTGGGACTGGATCCACTACTGCTGTTGCAGACATTGGCCTGGGGTCCGGGTCCATCACCTCTGACTGGGTCCTGATAGAAGTTTCCGGAACAGAGCTAGGCCTCACGGCTTGTTTAGCCTGGCTGCGGGTGACCATTCCCACCCTCTTGGCCTGCTTCACATGATTGGCCAAGTCTTCCCCCAACAGCATGGGGATGGGATAATCATCATAGACTGCAAAAGTCCACGTTCCTGACCAGCCCGTGTACTGGACAGGCAACTTGGCTGTAGGCAAATTGAAAGAGTTGGACTTGAAGGGTTGAATCGTCACTTGGATCTCCGGGTTGATTAAATTGGGGTCCACTAAGGAAGCATGGATAGCTGACACTTGTGCTCCGGTGTCCCTCCACGCGGTGACCTTCTTCCCGCCCACACTCACAGTTTCCCACCTGATGATCACTTTAGATAAGCTATTACCAGCAGGACAGTGGGGTGGGAGGAGGTATTGTTTCATATTCTCTGTGTATATATAAAGTCTGCTGCAGTTTCCACGGTATGCATCTGATGAAGTGAGCTGTAGCTCACGAAAGCTCATGCTCAAATAAATTGGTTAGTCTCTAAGGTGCTACAAGTACTCCTTTTCTTTCTGTTTCAGATGTTCGTTGGTTCTCTCTCTGTCTCTCTCCTTTTAGTTGTCCCACATTAACAAAAAGCCACAACAATTGTTTTTGAAACAGTGGGGAAAATGTATTTTTTTTTCACTCTTGCATAACTCCAAAGTAGTTGAACGGATCCAGCTAAAACTTAAAAAACAAACAAACCCAAACCAAAAAAACCCAGGGAGATGCAAAGCTTTGAAAATGTCAAAAGCTACTTGTGTTGCAGTGGTTATAATGGAAACTTAATAAAGGATTACAATCCTAACTACAGTGGCTGCAGCCAGACTTCACAATTATTAACTACTATCATTAATAATAAACATTTATATAGCACCATAACACAGCATGGTGCTTTAGAGATTAAAAACTATATATGCTTCCTGCCCCAAAGAGTTTACAATCTATGGGCTTGATTTTAACAGTCCCATTGACTTTTTAACAGCACAGGATTAGGACCTATTGAGCCATACCTAGGACATGAAGATAGTCACAGTAAGAAGGCAGGGAACGGAAGGATGGGCATTAAGACAAATATAAAAGAATAACATGATCACATAATAACAATACCCACTTGTATACACGCTGATATTTCTAAATAGAGATCAGGGTAGGAAAGAACAGCTCAGGGTGTAGGAGTTGCTAGTTTGACATGTGGTGGTGACATCAACACGATACACAGAATTTATTGTGCATTCTGCCCACAAATCCATCTAACAGTCGAACCCCCGGATGCCTCAGGATGCCAGAGAAACATGTCCCTCTTTCCTCCCGGAGCTGAATTTCCTCGCAGTTTCACTGAATGGGCAATAGTCTCCTCCTGTACCGAGGAGACTGGGGAAGGAGCTCGTTGACTTTGGACTTTGTTTCACTTTGCTAACAACTGTTCCTGGCCAGAATTCAGAGCTTCCCAGTGGTTCTAGCCCTGAACTGTTCCCATTATTACTCTTCATAATTGAGCCCCAGCAATGGCCCAGGACCCCATCTTGCTAGGTGCTCTACAGACACAGAACAAAAAGACAGTCTCTGACCCACGTGAACTGACAATATGAGCTATCCCAAGGAATTGGACTTTAAAATCATGGCAGTAGGATGTAGGAACAAGCTGTTTACAGAGAGTTTTAAAAGTAAGATGTATTAACGCAGCTTTCCTGTCCTAGTGAGCCTTGCACAGTTACTCTCAAGGTAGTAAGGCAGCCCAGTTTTAAAGGCAGAGGGATATGAAAAATAGCATTCATACAATCGTTTAAAAGACTGTTTTTAAGAGCAATATAAGTCAAAAGACCGGTCTTTTGTGTTACAATTAAGATATTATTTACAAAAACATAAGAACTGGAGACTGATAAAAGTAGATTTCTCCCCAGTAGAAAATCCATATAAGGAAATTACAAGATAATCAGATCTCTGGTTAAATGAAAACAAAATCAAATAGCGACATTGTCTGAACTAGTTTCTACATAGTTACAGGGACATGATAATGGAAAATTAGTTTGGGGAAAGGAAATGACCTAGCAAATTTCCCTAGATAATTGGAAGGCTATAATGCTGTGCTACTAGAAATAGAGTATGCTTCTCCTTTTGTAGAAATGATATTTTCACACAAAACAATACAAAACAAAACAGAGACAGAGTTCTGATCCAAATGCTGGAGGGGACACCAGAATGTAGGGGAGTGTCTCTGTATCATCTGGGATCGCCTCAAGTCAAAAAGCTTCTGGTCCGATGTTGGAGAATTGATGCACAAGTTATTTCAGAAACACATTCCCAAAATCTTGAACACTCTGGTGTCAAGGAAAGGTTCAGGGTTACTGAAATGACACAAAGGCAGGACCCTGTTTAAGATTCTTGTCACTGCTGCCAAGGGGTGCAGAACAAAATGGTGTCTGCGGAAAGAGGAATGATCAGAAGAGCCATGGAGAGTCTCACTATCCGTGTGAGATTATCCGTGAACTCTCCAAGGGAAGATGGGGCAAATGGGTTGAACTGATGAAAAAAGAAAATTGATATAACTTTTACCAAAGCAATTTGTCTGCCTACTGAAATGCAGAATGTGTTCTGTCTCTGCTCGGCTGTATTCCTTCCCCTTTTGTATCAGTCACCCTAAAACAGTGCCCCTTTGGAAAGCCCAGCCACGACATGTATCTCACACCACTGCATTGTATGTTCTGCACTCTCTCTCTCTCTCTCGGTGAGAGGAACCTACTTCTAACAAAACCGTATTTTCCACAGCTTGATTTCCTTATAAGCAGTTTCATTATCACTCGCCATGAGAGAGAGCCAAAGAAGTCTGCACCGAGAAGATGCTTCTGCAGACAGTGATGTGAACTCCGCTGGCTCCCAGAGAAAACCTCTCCTATGGGCAGGCTATTCCATAACTGCCCACTGCACAGTTTCTGGCACCTTCCTGTTAAGTGTCTGGTTCTGGCCACTGTTGGAGATGGGAGACTGAGCTGGAGGGACCATGTGTAAGAGCCAGTCTGACAATTACTGTTCTGATGTCTTCAGCTCAGTAGCTCTTGCAGCCCCCACAAGCTGGAGTTTTGTTGCAATACAGGCAGAGTTTCATTAGACACATGTGCCTTTCCAGTGCATTCAACTATACTTCACCTGTGTATTTTATTTTGACCCAAAATAATGAATAGCACCTTTAATTAGACTAAAGCAGACTGAGTAGTGTAAAAACCAGGCGAACAGTTCCTCGAACTTTGAAGACCAGCTCTCAAATTGTTTTGTTCATGCCCTGTTATTTGTGAACAGTTCTCCAAATAGAGCTTTGCCCAAACCAGTGTTCATGGCCAGAAGCCTTTAGCTGAGATTTGTTCGAGGAACGAACAAAATTTGTTTTGCAATGAAAGAAAATGAATGGTGGATGGAAGCAGTTTATAAAAGTCAAGTCAGTCTGCCAATCAGGGAGCAAAATCTGTACCATGGGATATTCCATACCTCTATATTGAAACACTGTGGAGGTACTCATACACTATGGTGACAAGGGCCATAGATAGATAGATGATCCAGACAGACAAATGGCACAGCTCAAAGCAGGAAATCACAACTACTGAATAACCGATGGAAAACTTCTACATTTTGGGAACAATCCCAATTTCAAATATGTTCATAAAAACTACTCTAACCATTTCAAATAATAAACATTTTCTTAGAAATTGTCACCCGGTGGCAGAGAATTTGCTCACAGAGAAAACAGCTAACTCTGCAGAACCGCTGCTTTCAGCCAGTTCTGTGAAGTATCAGCCTCCTTCCCGCACTGCTGGCCAGCAGTTCTGCTAAACGCTGCACAGCCACGAAGCCCAGCACTTTGGACAGGACACAAAGGAGAGCCCTGTATCCACCTGGAAATGCTGCAGGCGTTTTCGGGGGACAGAAGCTGATAGTGCCAATCCTTCCAAGAGTGCTGCTCACCAGGGTCATGTGAGCTCCAGATGCATAGCGCCCCTTCCTGCATGCTGAGGTTCTAGGCGCCACACAGTCTCAGCAAATGGACTCCCTGCAGCTCTGCCCTCCTCAGACTGGCCCTGCCATGTGTCGGTGGATCTGCTTAGGCTGAAAGGAGCTCTGCTGTAGCTGCTCCTAGCCTAGGCCAACAGAGATGTGCTGGGCAAGCCCAGAGAGGGAGCATCACAGGTACTGTCTGATTGGGCAGCTGCCACCACTCATCTTGCATCACTGCAGGTTTCTTATGAAGAAAAGCAAATGCTCCCAAAGGGGCTACAAATGCCCAGTCAAAAGTCAGGGCCAGAGTCTGGCTAGGACATGCCCAGGCCTCTAAGGCTGCATGATGTCAGGGAAGCCTTGATTTGTCTTTGTCCCTCTGCTCTGGAGACACTGCCAAGGAGGAGACATGCAGCCCAGCCGGGGAGGGTCCATGCACCCAGCCTCCCTGGGAGAAGTTGCTCTACCTCTGAGCAGCATCCCACACACCCCTTGGGCTCCAGGACTCTGCTGGTGCAGCTGTGAGTCCCCTGAACTGACCCAAGCTCCAGGGGAGGAACAAACTCTGGAGACTGAGGCCCAGGTAGTCGGAACCAGGGGAGCAGAACCACGGCAGCACCCAGCTCTCCATTCTGGGGCAGAGATGTCAATTAACGGGCTGGTTGTGATGTGGGGAGCAGGGTAACAATGGATGGACTGAAGGGAATGTAACCCACCCCTGGGCACTTTGCCTCCAGCTGCAGAACCAGGGAATCGCCAGCCCCTGGCTCTTGCCTCTCATCAGCTCAGCTCTGACACCAAGACAAACTGAGCTGGGGGTGATGTTTGGTTCAAAGGTTTTGTTAATGACAATCCATGTCCTGTGTGTCACGGATGAGCTGGGGGGGGCCAGCACAGAGAGACAGTGACATTAACTGGGGGGAGGGGCTATTTACACAGGAAAGCAGGAGCGACAACCCCCCTTTTCTAAATGTATCAGCCCATGGGGATCTGCTGGATCCGTGTCGGATCCAACCAACTGTATGAGAGAGAGACGGGGATCAGTGCTGGGGAGAGGAGCCAGGCTCAGCAGAGTCCTGTGTGATGCACAGCACTGGCAGTGCAGTCCAAACTGTGCGTGCACACACACACACACACACACACCCCTGCATGCTCTCTCGCTCTCATCCACACACCTGCACACTCCCAAGCAGACACACAACTCACACTCGTTCACACACGTGCACTGCACATACACATGTATATGCACACACGCATGCATATACACACACAAACCACTCACACATGCATACACGTACACACACACAACCACTCATTCTCTTTCTCTCTCTCTCTCTCTCTCTCACACACACACACACACACACACACACACACGCTCTCTCTCTCTCTTCTCTCCTGGTCTGCAGGAATCGGTTCCAGGAAGAAGACAGAAGTTCAGTTTCTTCCCCATAAAAGACTTCACCTCCCAGATGACACTGTCCCCAGGGGACCAGCTAGTTCTGATCTTGATGCTGGTGGTGTTTTTTTGATGTAAATACCTGAGCTGCTAGAGACAGGGCTGAGACCCTGGAACTCATATCATACAGGCGTTAAAACAAAAGGTCTGAGTCTCACAGACACCAAAGCCTCTGTTCATAGCTCAGGCAATGGGAAGGAGCTTTAAAAGCTAACAGAATGTTAGGAACCATCAGGAAAGGGATAGATAAGACAGAAAATATCATAATGCCACTATATAAATCCATGGTATGCCCGCACCTTCAATACCCTGTGCAGTTCAGATCACCCCATCTCAAAAAAGATTATTGAAAAAATTACAGAGAAGGGCAACAAAAATGATTAGGGGAATGGAACAGCTTCCATCTGAGGAGAGATTAAAAAGACTGGGATAGTGCAGCTTGGAAAAGAGACAACTGAGGGGAGATGTGATAGATATAAATAAAATGATGACTGGTGTAGAGAAAATGAATAGGGAAGTATTTTTTACTTGTTCACATAACACAAGAACCAGGGGTCACCCAATGAAATTAATAGGCAACAGGTTGAAAACAACATAAGGAAGTACTTCAACATGCTCCGTGTGCATTGTGTGAAGAACTCTTTTCCAGACGATGTTGTGAAGGCCAGAACTATAACTGGGTTCAATAAAGAACTAGATAAGTTCATGGAAGATAGGTCCATCAATGGCTATTAGCCAAGATGGGCAGGGATGGAAACCCCATGCTCTGGGTGCCCCTAAAAGTAACTGCTAGATGCTGTGGCTGGATGACGGGGGTGGATCCCTTGAAAACTGCCCTGTTCATTCCCTCTGAAGCATCTGGCACAGGCCACTGTCAGAAGACAAAATACTAGGCTAGATGGACCATTGGCCTGACCTCATATGGCCATTCTTATGTTTTTATGTTCAGGGAGGAACTGGTTAGAATCTGAAGGTGGAAGGCAACTTGTGTGAAAGTGAACATGACATATTTTATGATTCTAGGGGCACGAAGGAGTGAGAGCTACAGAACACAGACAATGCACTTCAAAAAAAGCAAATTTCAATAACTCAGAGAATTGATAGGTAAGGTCCCACTGGAAGGAAATCTAAGGGAAAAAGGAGTTATAGAGGCAATTTCTAAAAGAGACAATATTAAAGACTCAACAGCAACCTCTAGGTAGAATAGTAAGATACCAACATAGCTGCATCAGGAGTTATTTAATAACCTGAAAATCAAAAAGGAATGGTACAAAAAGTAGAAACAAGGACAAATTGCTACAGATTAGTACAAAAGAATAGCATAAGCATGTAGGGACAAAATCAGAAAGACTAAGACACAAAATGAGTTACACCTAGCAAGAGACATAAAGGGCAATAAGAAGAAGTTCTGTAAATACATTAGAAGAGTAAGAAGGTAGAAAGGGCAGGTCCAGTATTCAATGGGAAAAAAGAGCAATAATGGATGACACATAAAAGGCTGAAGTGTTTAATGCCATTTTTGCTTCAGTCTTCCTTAAAATGGTGGACTGTGACCAGGTGATTAACACTGTTAATATTTACAAGGGGGAAGGAACATGAGCCAGAATAGGGGAAAATGGGTTAAAGAACATTTAGATAAGATAGATGAAGTATTCAAGTTGCCAGGGTCTGGTCAAATTCACCCTAGGGTACTTAAGGAAATAGCTGAAGTAATTTAAGGAACAAGCTGAAGCAATCTCTGAACTGTTAGAATTATCTTTGAGAACTCACGGAGTATGGGTGCGGTCCCAGAAGACTGGAGAAGGGTGAACATAGCACTTATCTTTAAAAAGGGGGGAAAGACTAATCAGCCTAACTTCAATATCCAGAAAGATATGGAACAAATTATTAAACAAACAATTTGTAAGCACCTAGAGGATAATAGGATGATAAGTGACAGCCAGCATGGATTTGTCAACAACAAATCATGCCAAACCAACTTAATTTCCCTTTTTGATAGGGTTACTGGCCTAGTGGCTGGGGGGAGAAAGTAGACATAATAAATCTTGACGAGCAAAGCTTTTGATGCATTGCCACATGACATTCTCATAAGCAAACTAGGAAAATGGGGTCTAGATGAAATTACTACAAAATGAGTGCACAACTGGTTAAAGACGTATTCAAAGAGTAGTTATCAATAATTTGATATCAGACTAGGAATATGTATCAAGTGGGGTCCCACAGGTCTGTCCTCAGCCCAGTACTATTTAATGTTTCTGTTAATGACTTGCATGATGACTTATAAAATCTATGGATGACACCAAGCTGGGAGGGGTTGCAAGCACTACGGAGGACAGAATTAGACTTCAAATGACCTTGACAAATTTGAGAATTGGTCCAAAATCAATAAGATGAAACTCAATAAAAACAAGTGCAAAGAACTACACTTCGGAAGAAAAAAATGAAATGCATAAAGACAAAATGAGGAATAACCGTCTAGGCAACCGTACAGCAAGAAAAGATCTGGAGCTCAGGCTGGATCACAAATTGAATAAGAGTCAATGTGATGCAGTTGAAAAAAAAGGAAATTTCACTCTGGGATGTATTAATAGAAGGATCATACCAAAGACAGAGGAGGTGTTTGTCCTTCTCTATTCGGCACTGGTGAGGCCTCAGCTGGAATACTGTGTCCAGTTTTGGGTACCACACTTTGAAAAGGAGGTGATCAAATTGGAGAGAGTTGAGAGGAGAGCAACAAAAGTGGTAAGAGGCTTAGAAAACTTGGCCTGTGAAGATAGGTTGCAAGAACTGGGCATGTTTAACCCAGAGATCAGAGGACCAAGGGGGAACCTGATAAGTCTTCAGATATGTTAATGACTGTTTTAAAGAGGAAGGCCATCCATTGTTCTCCATTCCCTCTGCAGGTGGGATAAGAATAGGCTGTTTGCAGCAATGGAGATTTAGGTCCGATATTAGGAAAAACTTTGCAACTATAAGGCTAGTTTAGCACTGGAACAGGTTATTAAGAGACTGTGGAGTTCCCGTCACTGGAAGTTTTAAAGAAGAGGTCAGACAAACACCTGTCAGGGATGGTCTAGGCCTCGGCACAGGGAGATAGACTAGATGGCCTCTTGAGATCCCTTCCAACTCTACATTGTTATGATTCTATAAAGCACACATGAAGCACATACACAAAACACACAGTCACAGATGCGCACACACACACCTCTTTCTTAAGCCACCAAATTTCCATGTCCCCAGGGTCCTGAACAATTAGTTCTCCTACGAGCCAGCTGTACCCCGACAAGCAAGCCAGTCCGCTCCCTCCCCTGTCCCCATAACCCAGCCAATCATACAGCCCTCCCCACCCCACCCCTGTCTCTGGGGCCCTGCCAGAGGGGTCGGCAACTCTAGAAGTTCTGGCTGGGGTAGTGCCACAAGGGCAGGAAGGTGTCAGGATTCTCGCCAGAGTGGGTTCTCTCGTGTCTCTTGTGGTGGGAGCTGCGGCTGAAGCTCTTCCCACAGTAGATGCAGATGTAGGGCTTCTCGCCCGTGTGGATGCGCTGGTGCTGGGTCAGGGTGGATTTGTCAGTGAAGCTCTTCCCGCAATCGGGGCACTTGTAGGGTTTCTCCCCGGTGTGGATGCGCTGGTGCCGGGTCAGGTTGGAGCTGACGCTGAAGCGCTTCCCACAGTGGGTGCATTTGAAGGGTTTCTCTCCCGTGTGGATCCGCATGTGTTTGACCAGGTCCGAGTTCTGGCTGAAGCTCTGCCAGCACTCAGCGCACGTGTTGGGAATCTCGATGGTCGGCGTCCTCTTCTTGACCTTGATCTCCTTGGCCTTGGCCACGGTGGCTTCCCCGCTCCGGTGGGAGCACTTGCCCCGGCCTTTGGCGGGCGGGTTCCGCAGGTGCCGCTTGCGGTGTGAGCTGCGGCTGAAGCTCTTCCCACAGTCAGCACATTTGTATGGCTTCTCGCCAGTGTGGGTGCGCTGGTGCTGGGTCAGAGTCGACTTGTCTGTGAAGCTCTTCCCGCAGATGGGGCACTTGTAGGGCTTCTCACCCGTGTGGATGCGCTGGTGCCGCACAAAGTTGGAGCTGACGCGGAAGCTCTTCCCGCAGTAGCTGCACTCGTAGGGGGTCTCACCGGTGTGGATGCGCTGGTGGGTGATGAGTGTGGAGCTCTGCCGGAAGCTCTTGCCACAGTCAGTGCAGATGAAAGGCTTGTCACCCGTGTGGATGCGCTGGTGGTTCACCAGATCCGAGCTGTGCAGGAAGCTCTTCCCACACTCGGAGCACAGGTTGGGCCTGTCACCCTTGGGCAGTGGCTGGTAGACCAGGGTCTCCTCCTCTGGGGGGCTGCGCTTTGGCTTCTCCAACTTACGCTTGTTCTTGGGCTTCTTCTTCTCCAGGGTCTTGGCCACATTCCCTTTGGACTTTTTGGGTGACATTTCGGGTGGCTACTTGCACTCAACCCCTGGGGCCAGCGGAGAAATATTCTCTTCCTTGTGCTCCCTCACAGCGCTGTCATCTGCTGGAACAGAGAGAGAGAGCCCAGGCATGGGCCATTACTTCAGGGCAGGGACTGTCTACTACTTTGTGTTCGTACAGCACCCAGCATGATGGGGCCCACTCTTGGTTGGTCCTGAGGCCCTGTGTAATAAACCCCTGCTTAATAAAAATAATTCATATCCCAGCAGGGCCTAGAGATTTTCGCTGAGATCAGGGCCCCATTGTGCCAGGTACTCCACAGACACACAGCGAGAGAGAGTCCCTGTCCCCAAAAGCTTCATCTAAATAGACAAGACAAAAGGGGTGGGGGGGGGAACAGAGGCAAAGGGATCAGCCCCCACGCCACTGGTTTGTGTTGCCTCCGGCTGTTTAGCTAGGTATTTATATGGCCCGCATCACTGCAGTATCTCAGCACCTCATACTCTTTAATGTATTTCCCCTCACATAACCCCGTGAGGCAGGCCCCTGCCACTGCCCCCACAGTACAGGTGGGAACAGAGACACCGATGCCCAGGGTCACACAGGGAGTCGTCCATGCTGGAAACTTAAATCAAGAATGAGTGTCGCTTTCAAAAATTCCTGCTGTGGTTCAACCACGAGTCACTGAGCTTGATTACCGGGGAGGGTCCCTGGCCTGCATGGTGCAGGAGGTCAGACTAGATCAGTGGTCTCCAACCTTTTTATGCCCAAGATCACTTTTTGACTCTAAGGGCAACCCGGGATCTAACCTGCCCCTTCCCCAAGGCCCCATCCCTTCCCCAAAGCCCTGCCCCACTCACTCCATCCTCCGCTCTCTCCGTCGCTCCCTTTCCCCCACCCTCACTCACTTTCACTGGGCTGGGTTAGGGGTTCGGGAGGGGGTGTGGGCTCTGGGCTGAGCCTGGGGCAGGGGGTTGGGGTGCAGGAGGGGGTGAAGGGTGCAAGCTCTGGGAGGGAGTTTGGGTGCAGGAGGGGGCTCTGGGCTGGGGCAAAGTGTTGGGGTGAAGGAGGGGGTACGGGGTGCTGGCTCTGGGAGGTGGGTCAGGGCTGGGGGTGCAGCCTCCCACTGAGCAGCACTGGTCACTCCTGGTTGGTGGTGCAGCATGGCGGCCACTAAGTCAGGCTCCCTGCCTACCCTGGCCCCACGCCGCTCCCACAAGGGCCCAATGCGCCCCTGCAGCCCCGGGGGGGCATGCAGCTCCCATTGGCCACAGCTCCCTGTTCCCAGCCAATGGGAGCTGCGGGGGTGGTGCTTGCAGGCAGGATCAGCGTGTGGAGGGAGATCCCTGCCCCCGGGGCCACGGCAGGCAGCCGGGGCAGGCAGGGAGCCTGCCTTAGCGACAGCCCACTACAACACTAGAGGTCACAATCAACTGGGAGATCCTCTAGGATCGACCAGTCAATCGCGATCGACCAGTTAGTGATCACTGGACTAGATGAACACAGTGGTCCTTTCTGCCTTAACATCAATAAGCTGAACACAGTCTATTCCCAGTCCACAGCCCTCCACTAGTCTGGCCCCTCTACCCAGAACTGGAGGACAGGAATCTGAGAGAGATGAATGGGAAATGTAAAAACAAATTATAATAATTTGTTTTAGCATTTCCTATGGTTTTCCCAGCATCCAGCACAAGATAGAAAATCTCCAAGAAATTTTTAACACCCCTTCTCCCCCGAATAAGGGAGTCTGAATCAAAGGAGCGCTTTGGGGGATTCCTCTGACACTGTCCGCAGGACAGCACACTCCCACAACAGTGCAGGGATTAGGCAGAGGCAGGACCAATTAAACCTATCTGTTTGAGCTGAGCAAGTCATTTACAGTTTCTCATTTCACAGGGCTTGGATACCACACTGATGGGCGCAATCCACGAACCTGAACAGAACAGTGTATTTTCCCAGTTTTTATGTTCACAAATTGTCCTTGGACAGGCACAAAAATTCTCAAACCTGCTTGTTCTTCAGAATTAGGAGCACACTGCAGATCGGACCAATGGGCCCATCTAGAATGGTATACCACCCTTTGTGCTGCACCAGTTCAGACTAGTGGTCCCTCTGGAGCAGTATCCCCATCTCCCAACTACCTCACCTCAGACCAGGATCATGTCAGTGTCGAGTACCAGATAGTTCGGAGGAAGGTGTGAGGAATCCAGTCTTGGGCAATTACAGAATAACCTGCACATACAAATACAGTCTCACTAAGCCCAGGCAGTCAGAGGTTGATTTATGCCTTAAAGCAAGAGCACAGATAGCCCTTATATACTCTAGCTAATTATGCGTGTTCTTCAGTGAGTAGCTCTGGACCCATGGATTGTTTTGAATAGTGAGTAATGTCCGTGCAAGTCATACCAATTTTGGTTACTTTGATAAAAATAATAATTAAAAAATGCTTACCTCTTAGAGCACACAAGTCACATGGTGTTGCTTCAATTTTTTGATTGGATGATAAGGCTTTTCAAAGCAGGGACCATGTATTTCTCTGTGTGTGTACAGCACCCAGCAGATTCCAGCAGAATATTATGGCCAATGCTACGAGATGAAATTGATGTGGTGTAGGTTAGATGCATGAATCGTCCAATCAGAGAGAAGAGACAATACTACCTGACCCCTGTAAGTAACCAGTTATGAACTGCACAATGCAGTTACCTTTGTGATGGCCCCCTCTATCTAAGTACCTCTACAGCACCTATCAGCAAAGAATGTGAGCGCCCCAATGTAGACTGCCACTCCCGCTGAGGTAGGGAAATGTTATTGTCTCTGTTTTACAGATGGAGAAACTGAGGCACAGAGAAATGTAAGGCCAGTAATTTCTAAGGTGATGAATGACTTTGGGTGGCCAACTTGAGACCCCTTTAAGGGGCCTGATTTTCATACAGTGCTGAGCACCCACCTCCTGAAAATCAGGCCCTTTTGTGGGGTCGCAAGCTGGGTACTCAAAAATCACTAGTCACCTCCAAAACTCTTGGTGTAAGTGAAGTGCCATGGTAGTACGGCGAACCTCGGACAGAGCTGGACCCAGCCCATCTGAGAGCCCTCCAGAGTCTTAACCCATCCCTCCTCCAACTATACAGCAGAACAAAACTGCAAATTACACTGTCAAACAAACCTTTCCCAAACGCGCTCGGGTTAATACCCAGACTGAGAACTCGCCTTTCAGAAGCACTGAGCACTCCCTGAGCGCCGGGGAGGGCGGACACCGGGGACCAGTACAGCTGAGCCGCAATTCGGTACTAGACTGGCAGTAATGTGGCTGGTAATTAACTCAGCAGCTCCAATGCCTCCGGATGAAATTCACCCCAGGGCAGGGGGTAGCAGGACGCCTGGCACCACTTCAATCCTGCGCCAGGCACCGGGGGGGGGGGGGGAGACTGGGGGTGAGGGAGGGCAGCAGCTCAGACCCCCGGGAGCAAAGGAGGGGCCGTTGGTGCAGAGTCACTTTCCTGCCCGGCCCCAGCCCTTCCCCCGGGTCTCTCCCCTCACCTGCAGGCTCCGGCTCAGGGGCTGGTGTCGGCAGAGCCCGGGGCTGGTTCCAGCCCCCGGAGAAAGTCCCCCCCGGCTGGGCACAGAGGGGCGCTAGGGAAGGGCTCTCCCCGCACAGACCCCGCTGGGGAGCAGCAGTAGCTCAGCCTGGAAAGGAATCCAGGCTCACAATGGAGGCAGCAGCAGCAGCCTCTGACCCAGGAAGCTCAACCCTGATATCCTGAGCGGAGAAATACAGAGAGAGCCGCCTCCCCTCCCCTAGCAATAACCAGAGACCTCTAGCGACAAACTCTAGGGGCACCGGCTCCCTGCGCTCCCCCAGGGACAGAAACTCAGCGCAGGGGGACCGCCCAGAATCCTGCGCCCTCCTTCCTGACCAGAGAGCCCACAGGAATAGTCCTGCTGGACCAGACCCCAGAGCCACGTGGAGACCAGTGGCCTGGCTCCGGCACTGGCAGAACCAGATGCTCCAGGAAGGTGCAAGAGCCCTGCAGTAGCAGATGTGTGAAAACCTGCCCCCCCCCCCCCTTCAGTATTGGTCTCATGCTGGGCTCTAATAGCTAGAGATTGGCTCGCGCCCTACACTAGGGGGTTCAATATCCCTTCAGAAATGTTTGTTGTCGTTGATTAGGGGACCTCTGGATAGTCTTGCTGTCCATAGAAATGTCCAATCCCTTTTAAATCTTGCTAAGTCTGTGGCCCTCAACCACTTCCTGTGGCAATGAGTTCCCTAGGTTAATTAAATATAGTGTGAAAAGTATTTCCTGTTAACTGGTTTTGAATTTGTCACCTTTTAACTTTGTGGTGTGTCCCTTGTTCTTGTGTTATAAGACAGGGAGAACAGAAACTCCTGATCTCCCATCTCTAGACCATTTATTATTTTTTACTCCCCTTTTACTCATCTCCTTTCTAAGGTAACAATCCCAGTCTTTTCAGTCCATCTTCATATGAAGATTCTTCTGGGTCCTTGATCATTCTTCCTGTCCTTCTCTGCCCCCCCCCCCAACCACCGCCACCACCACCACCACCGATTTTGCAGTAACCTGTGAAAACTGGGGTGCCCACTACTGCCCGTGGTCTTCAGATGAGGTCACACCATTGATTTACATAAAGGCATTAGAATATTCTCTGTATTGTTCACCATCCCATTCCTTATGCATGCTGACATCTCGTTAGCTTCTTTGGCCTCAGCTGTGCATTAAACCAAGCTTTTCATAGAGCTGCCCACAATGGTCCCTTTCTTGGGTTGATACAGTTCATTCAGAATTCTGATTTAGAAGAGTTGAAAATGTGTCCCTCCAATGTAAATTACTTCACAATTGTCAGAAAGAACTTAATTGTCCATCATGTTGCCCATTCCCCTTGCTTAGTTAGGTCCCCAGAAACCTCCAGAGCAAAGAGATCAGAGACAGAGTCCCAGAAAAAGGTGTCCCTTGGTGCCATTCAGGGGCCCAGGCATCCCCCTGTCAGGACTTGTGGTTTCTGTTCACAG